ACAAGCACTGGGAGAAGAAAAGGTGGTTATATGTCAAAGCGTTGAGTTCTTTGAGGTATGTCCTGCAAATTGACATCCATTACCTATCTTTTTTGTGTATTTTCTGTCAGTTTTGCATATGACTGGGACGTCCACTCAATATGCTTTACATGATCGTAGAGAAAGAGACAGACTAAATATAGCTCTGAAAAGAAAGATACTTCATTGGAAGTTCTAAGAAATTTTCAGCAATTAGTTTGACCTATATCTGAGGAACTTTATAAAAGCATAGAAGTCAGGATTGGAAGGGATCTGGATAGATTGCCTAACTGTACGTCTTTCTTGACAGTTCAGGCTATTTGTCAAACTTTCTCTTTAATAGCGCTATTGTAATAGTAGCCCTGTTGATGACTCAGACTGCTGCCACTCTTCTGTGGGTGGAGTCTTGGAAAATGTATTTGTCATGATGCAAAGAAATGTATATAACCAGAGGTGCGTGCTCTAAACGAAGACAAGAGTTAACAATGAATGTTGCAGTAGTCTCAGTGGTGAAAACAAGCTCTGATTCTATGAAACACATGTATTGCTGTGTGCTTTTAAAAATGGTATAACAAGATTATGTTGAAATGAATGTTTGTGCTATAAAAGAGATATATATATCCTTTAATAATTACAAATAACAAAAAAATTGGGAGTTGGCCCTGTTCACTTATTTCATGGAACAGTAATTTTGAGATGTGATTAAAATTTTTGATTTTTCAGCTAAGGGGCTTACCAGTTGTCTGTAGTATAGATATGGTTTGGCTGTTACCCATCTCAATTCTATAGTTTGCTAGCACGTTATATCACAGAATCACAGAATGGTAGAGGTTGGAAGGGACCTCTCTTCCTTATGTAAACCTTAAACTTGCATTAATCCCTGCACAGGTAGAGTTTGTGCCCATGCTTACCTTCATGATAAACCACAGGGTGCTATGTGGCTGTCACTCCCATAGATTTTTTCGCTCTTCAGCCCAGGGACTGCTGTTTGTTTAGGAGAGGTACGTAGCCACATAGGGTGCTGGTCTGGCGACTGAATTGTGGTGGGCAAGAAGACCGTGTTGCTTTTGTGACATGACCTAGAGTAACTTACTGCGGTTTTGAAGAGAGATTGGATTTCTGCCTCGACACTGCCAGAGTGAGAACATAACAAGTCTTTGCTTTCCATTATTTACACTGCTAGGAAGAGCATCTCTTTTTCTTCTTGGCTGTCAGTTTTGGAGGTTAGTCACATGAAAGTGGAAGAGGGTACTAAAGGAGGCACAAGCTAAAATACTAAGGAAGTGTTACATAAGAATTCTGAGGGTGAAGCTTGATTAAAACAGAGAACTGTTATAAATTTATTTGGAGATGCAGAAGAAAAAAGCCATGCCTGTTTATGGCCAGATCCAGCCATTAGTGTTTGTTCCAGCTGTAGGCTTTATTAAAACTCCTCGGCCACAAGCATGGCACATCAGAGAAGATTAAGGCCTTTGCATCGATTCTTACTGGACTTCTAAATGTGTTATCTTTCATAAACTATTCATTGCTCTTGTTATGCACCTAACACAAGAACAATGGTATCAACAAACCACAGACTCAGGAGTGTTCTTGAGGTTGCCTTCATGTGTGATTGGTTGTAGCTGTTATGTTGTAGTTGCACCTCTAGAATAATAATAATAATAAAAAAGTTGTGATCCCATCATTGGCTGTTTTTTGTAAGGGAATAATCAAGAAATTCCTTTGTACTAAACCTGAGACCTGGTGCACATTCAAGAAAAATAAATTAATCAGGACATCAGTGTTTTGTCTGTTTTCAGTGTTCTGATGCATCAGAAGGGATGTATGAAAAAACCTTAAATAAACGTAGCTGAGCGTCTACTTTTTCTAAAGCCTCATTGTGCCAAGTCTGGCTGGCGTAGAGTTAATGTTCTTCACAGCAGCCGCTGCGGCGCTGTGTTTGGGATTTGTGACTAAACCAAGGTTGATAGCACACCAGTGGTTTGGCTGCTACTGAGCAGCACTTGCACAGCGTCAAAGTCTTCTCTTTTCCCACTCTGCCCCCGCAGTGAGTGGGCTGGGGGTGGGCTGGGGGTTGGTAGGGGACACAACCTGGACAGCTGGCCCGGGTTGACCAAAGGGGTATTCCACACTGTATAATGTCATGCTCAGCAATAAAACTGAGAGGAGGAGGTTTTGGGGGAGGTAGCCATTGCTTGGAGACTGGCTTGGGCACCGGTCTGCTTGTGGGAGGTGGTGAGTGATTGCCTTTCCATCACTTGCTTTGTTTGTAATTCTTCTTTCCTTCACTTATTCAAGTATATCTCAACCCACGGGTTTTCTCACTTGTGCTCCTTCTGTTCTGTGCCTTCGTCCTGCGGGGGGCCGGGGAGGGAAGGAGCGGTCATCTGGTCCTTGGCTGCTGCCCGGGGTCAGCCCATCACACCCTCAGAGCAACATCTGCCAGGGGACCAGCTGCTGTCTGGCGGGGGATTCTGTAGGGAACAGGGAGATACCAAACACATGTTTAATGGTGTAAGTTTCTGTTACGCATGTTCATGGGGAAGTCTTCATGTGAATTCAACAAATCAAAGAACAGATACTCAATGTTAATTGTTGTAAATTCCTATCAAAATTGTTTGGTGTTCAGTTGCAACATTGGGGCTTTTTTTACTTTTTAATGGTGTCTTACTTCTTTCTTGTTAACTGTTAATATCGTTTACATGGTTTTGACTGGACGTTTACCATATCCAGCTAGAATAATAAAAGTAGACAGGAAAAATACACATACAACCTATACAGTAAAAAAAGAAAAAACAAACAGGAAAAGATACAGAACAGAAAACAAGTAGAGGAATGCAAACTAAATCGCTATGAATAATGATGACATTGTATTCTGCACTTCTTCACATTTATTAGATAAAAACGTAATCTAGAACACTTGAAGGCCCCATAATATTAACATTAATGTTTTCTTGGAGTTGTTCATTGTTTACTACATGAAATAGTAGGACTCTGCAAAGTGTATCCTGTACAAGAAAATTTTATACAGTAGTCCTCGAGTATTGTGCTACCACTGCAGGGTAGATGTTGTTGTAATTTTGGTGTTGTTATTGCGGTAGAGTAATTTAAGAGCAAAATCTCATAAGATAGATCATTTAAACTTATTCTCTGTGGGAAGCAGACTGTACACTGCTTGCATTTCTTTTACAGTAGCTCTCTCTAGGACACTACTTATTTTCCTTCAGTCTATTTCAGGGCACTTTTCAAACACTTTTGAAACACATTTGCACCTAATACCTAATTGCACAGGCTAAATCATCATACTTCAGTACAATTTGTATCTGATAGATACCAGGTAGGAATAATTTGTATCTAATGTCTGTCAAAGGGGTTGAAAAACATCTGGGTTTTTTCTGGATAGGATGAATATCTAGGTGAGATTAAGTCATCAGGGCAAGACGCGACACTCATTGAAGTCAATGGATATCTTCCCAATCACTTCAGTAACTCGATGGCAATCCCAGTGAAACAGTTCATCTCAGGATGGGCTTGAGGAAATATTGACAAGTCATTGAAGAAATGGTGATGGGAGAGAGGGCTGAGAGACAAGTACCACGGAGGTAGCTGGGTCAGACATTTCAGAGGTGAAAATTAATAGGAGAGCAGCAGTGCTTGAAATATAGTATATGCTACTATACATGCAATATGGCATATATTATTTTGAGTGATGTTCAATGCCTCAGTTTAATAGGGTGGATAGCAAAGGCAGAAAGTTAGGATTTAAAATCAAACTGCTGTTGGTTACATAAAGAAACTAACCTTTAATATGTCGCAGTAGCAATAAGGGATTTTTCTATATCTCAGGACTGGAAACATTGCTTTACTAGAGGATATGGTATTACACTGTGATAAGTGGTTTATAAACACATTTTTGTTTGAAACAAATAAATAGAGCTAACAGACTTTTCAACAGTTGCTCATTTAGATTTGCTGTAAATATTAAATGTTGTACGTATACTCAAAAAATACTCGAGACTGAAAATATTTAGTGTTTTATAGATTGCTCGAGTAAGTCATATAAACTGATAATCTGTCACTGTGAGTAATGAACAAAATAATTCCAGATTTGGAAATGTTGCCTTGAATGCCAGTAGGAAAAACCTGTAGCAATCATGAACAGAAAGATTTGTTTGTGAATTTGACTATTAAAACATTAGTGACAGCGAAAATGAAAGCTGTCACTTACCTTGCTTTGGGAAGATGCAGGTCTGCATGTGTTTATTGGCGAAATCATCAAAACAACAAAATCTGCTATCTTGTGAAATAAGCTTAAGAATGCCTCAAATAACCTTACCAGGGAAATTTCCCTGCATCTTGTATATACTTGGAGAGAAGAAATCATTCTTCCTTTCATCATAGCCTAAATGCTGACTTTTATTCAGGAACGGCTTTTAAAAGGCTATTTTTTTCAATGAAAAGTAGGTAATTGTGTTGCAATTCATTTTCTGCATTTCTTTATTAAGCATTTTTGACATTTCAACAATATTTGTCTTTAATTATATGTTCAGTTGTGAATTATAGAGATCAGACTTCTGTGGATTTTTTGTGGCTTTTATATACCAGAGCCACATGTACGTGGGCAGAAAATGTTTTTTTTGTGTGACAAAGATAAGCAAATTTTTATCTGAAAATTTTGTGGAAGGTAACTAAGTACAAACAAACTCAACCATAACTTGTTCTTAAAAAGGCTGCTGAGTATTATTTTGCATGATTAAACAAAATAAGACTAAAAAACTTTCTTAAAGAGGAATTATTTTGTTCTGGACAAGAAAACAAATTGAAAAGCAGCTTTATTAGGAATTATTTCTGAGGAAACTACATGAGATGCTAAATCAAGTTGTATTTTATGCTCTCTTGTTTTTAATTTTCAAAAGTGAGTTTTGTTCACGTAGAGGAAAAATGCCAGAGAAGCTAATATCTTAAAATTTCTTTTCACTTAGAAAAAACTGACCAAGAGAATACTGCGGCAGGAGATAGAGACATAAAACAGCCTTCCAGTAACCAAAGTATACAACCAGAGATACAACACCAGTCTGCCTGGGAAAATCGCACTGATGGTGACCTCATCAGAAGTAAGTATTTCCAGAACAAATTGCTGCCATTTAGGCTTACTTTTGCAGTGTAACGGGATCCTGCCTGTTGACTCAGTTAAATGTGTGTCAAATGCAATTGTTTTGCAACTATAATGTGTATCTACTGAATATTTTTCCCGGAATGACTCGTGTCAGCATGCATAAGCAATGAGTTCAAAGGAAGGTGTGCTCTGAGTGGTGCAGTATAATATAGCCCTCTGTAGTATCTACATATTAAAGCCTTAATGTTACATTCTTCTCTTACCATTCGTAATGGGATCTGTATATTCAGTAGAAGCTGCGGTATGCAACTGTGCTAGGTGTCATCGCCTTTGATTTCTCAGGGTATACATTTAAGTGGCAGAGTAAATTATGCTGAGAGCAGTTGCTTCCAGATACACTGAGTACTGGTCAGATGTAAGTTTATAAGGAGGTTTGAATCCTAAAGTAGCTGGTCTTTTCGAAACTAGAAGAATGCTGTAAGGCAAGTTTTTAGGCCTTACGTGCTGTGGAATTGTGTTTTTTAAAAAATTAGTTTTTATAAGTCCACATTCCTAGTGTATGTCTTGGATGTTTTAAAACATCAAAAGGTATGCAAGATTATTCCCACTTTTCTGTCTTGAATTGAATATCATATGCTGTCCAAAAGATCATCCACAATTGCACCCTCCTGAGGCAAAAATATTTCTGTTAACTGCCAGAGGTAATGCCGCTTTAAAATTCTGTGAATGCTTGAACGTTAGTCACTCAAGGGAGAGGCAGCATGAGAAACTTTTCTTTAATTATAGGGTATATTCAGAAAGCAAATGGGCTAAATGCTGAGTGGTGCTCCAGCCCTCTGAGATCGTTGTCTGACCACACACTTCGTGTCAGTCTTTGCACTGCACACGTGCTACTCGATACGCAGTGGGGTAAATTCCTATTTCTGAACCTGCTGTTGCTGTAGCTGGTGATTTTCCCTGGAGTTACCCAGTTCTTTCTATTTTAGTTTTGTTTTAAGTCTTATCTATACAATCAGCTTCTCCCGAACTTTGTGTTAGCATTTGAAGTTCTTTTTAAACCTTAGTTAATACTTTTTTCTAAATAATGAATCCCAGTAAATACTTATATCCTGAATGTATTGAATAGTTGTCTAGATCCTTTACAGGAAAACTGGAATTTAGCAAGTCAGATACTTATCTGACAATTTAAAAATAATTCTTAGGGGGCTGTAAAGAGGAGGAATTTTCCTTCACGGTTTAAGAGTTCACCTAATTCCAAAAGATCATTATTTTAGACCTGATGGTCCCTGGGCAAGCAATTTACTTGTGCTTGTGTTGAGGACATGGGAAGGTGCATGTGGCATCTGCTGCTTCTCATTCCCCCTTCCTAGAGGCTTCCTTATTCCCAGACCCGTGGGGAAGTGGATTTATTGGGTACCAGTTAGCAGCGTGCCTGAACTGTGGAGGAAAGGATCAAGGACAGTAGGGTAGTGCTGTGCTTCTTGTAATACATTCACCGCAAGGAGACTGGGGAAGTGGAAGAGAAAAAGATAAATTTTTTCAACATATAGTAGAAATTGCAGCAGATTGTGCAAGTCCCTGGTAAAATGACGTGACAGTTATATGCAGTTATATGTCTCTAAGATAGGAGGGTTCTCCGCTGCTGAATTAAAAAAGTAACAGGAAAAAGGGCAAAGAAAGGCTAAAATTCGGAAGGTAGTGTACTGCTCGTGTGCATAACTGTGTTCCTCCTGGAGTCACTGGTAGTTTTACTTTTGACTTTGTGAAAAGCAAGTTCAAGTGAAAGTTGGAAGTTTCTAAAACTCCTAGTCTTAATAATGGAGTTTTGTGTAGTAGTGGCTTTATTATGAGGCGTGTTTGAATAGCTGCTATGATGCAATCCTCTCAGTTTCAAATTCATGATTTTTTAACCTTTGATGTTGAAGTCTTCAAGATGGAAGAAACAAAAATTATGACATTAAAGCAGCTTCTTTTCTGTTTTTTTGGGCTATGGCTGTGAGTAGGGAAGTCTGTTCTATTTAAAAAAAAATGAGGAACAGTGTTTGGCTCAATTACAAGTACTTCTTGGTAGTTTGCAGAAGTTTCACAACTTGATCTACCTAGTAACTACAGTTTGAAAAATAGGACAAGTAAAGCAAAGAGAAGCTTGTTGATCACAAATATTACCTAGGTATTTCATCTTAAATAACAAGTGTTGTAGCTCAGAATGGCTGTGATTCAAACAGATCTGTTACCCCACTAGACTAAAGTTTGCAGAATACTGTGTATTGAAAAAGCTTGGGGTTAGAAATAAACATTGTTTTGATCATTACGGTGTATTTTAAAACTGTTTCTTTAAGTTGTTTTAGACAGGGCATACTTCAGTTTTCTCAGGTGTTAACAACCATTCACCACTGTCCTAATGATTCAGTTTGTTTTTTTCCCATACAGATTGTTTTCCACCCCACAGTTGATACATACTCTATTTGTGTTAGCCTTAGTTTTCACTTTATAAATGTTTCCAGCGTTTGATTTCCAAGATTTTCCTTGTTTGCAGCTGTTTTATCCTGCTGTTATATGGAAGTAGATTAATCAGTTAGTTTTACTGGCACACCAACAACGAAGTCCAGTGTTAGAGACTCTGTAATGACTTCATTATGTACGATTTCGCATTTGCACTTCTGAACTCAGTTTACCAGGCAACATCAATAAACTAAAATGCTGCCCCTGTTTTCCACACTAAGATGTTTTCAGTTCGCCTTGTCCTGGCCTTGCAGTCTTTTTCTCAAGCCCCATTTTTTTAATCTTTAGATGAGATTTCACCAAGATTTAGTCCTTTCCCCACCTCCTTTGGAGCAGCCCTTCTCCCCCCCAGGTGCAAATATTCATAATGTCGCAAGTAAATGGGCAGTCTTATGGGAAGCCTCAACCAAGGGATTAATCAACTTTTAGAAGAGCTTGAGAGTCATGGTGGAGGAATATTAGCTTCTAGTGCACCTCTACTTCAATGGCGACTGTATATTGACATAAACAGGGGAGAGCTAAATAAGAAGAAAATGGTTATGCTGCCTTTCTCTTATTAATTGTTAGTGCGCTTGCATAACTATTACTGGAAGACTGCATACAGTTGGAGGAGGGTTAGGGGAGAACCACAAATATCTCTGGAATGACTGGAGTAGTTGAAAACATGCCTTATTGTGGAAAAACTCTTGGAGTTCAATCTGTTTAGTGTTAGCACGAAGGATAAATAGGGGCTTACCGAGTCCCTAAGACGCATGATACCACAACGGACAGAAATCTGATAAGACAATTCTTCAACTGTAGCAGACAAAGGGAGAGCGAGATGTAATGTCTGAAGTTCAGTTAGGCTAGAAATAAGGTGTGCATTTTTTAACGGAGTATTTGAGAACAGTAAGAACTGCCAAATATTTGGTGTTTTTAGGGGTTTTAAATTGGCGTTATTCTTCACAAGGTGGCTATTGCTGTCCATATCCTCAATTTTAGAACCTGACCAAGAGAGAATTTCTTTTCCATAGTGATTCCCCCGAACTGGGATAACCTTAGGTTTTTCATCTCAGGTATTCTTCAAGGCAGTGTTGAGACCTATTCCTTTCCCTTCACAGTCGCACATGTATTTTGTGTTTTATTTCAGCCTGTAGAAGTTCTGCTTTTCAAAATAGCTTAGCTTTAGAATAGCTCCATCTGCTTTTTCTTCTTCTTCAGCCATGCACTTTAAATATCTGCAAACACTTTCTGCTTATTTTCATTATATGATCTGGCGGCCTGTAATGGAGATGTTCTGCTTCTGTTATCACTCACCTCTGGCAAGTGAGGAAGAGTGGATGTTAAAACATGCAGCAGGGTAACCTGTGGCTATAGAAATGAAGCCATAGGAATTTTTGCTGCTCCACATTACTACAGTGCCTTGTTTTGTTCTTTGGGAAAGGTTGGGCTTTTTTTTCTTTTCCTGCTTAAAAAAAGGCTATAAAGTTGGTGATCACAATATTTAGGCAGAATTTTTAGAGAGGTGACTAGGTTATCATCAATGTGTGCTGTTAGGCAGGGGAAGGAATGTTTAGGAGGGAAGAAAATGCCAGTCTTGAACACTATTTGCTTGTGTGGATTTAATCTCCTTTCCAGTTCTCAAGCAGGATCTCAGCTATGTGATATTTAAGAAAACAAAAAACATCTACCATAGATTCAAATTGTCATGAATAATTGATTAATAATAATCTGATTCCCAAGATTAAATACCTAAAATATGCCTGTGTTTTACAGATAGAAAGGTCATTGCTATCCATCATTTCCTAGCTTCAATTGCCTCTTTCTCCTCTGTGAAACACACTTCTGATAAGAGTGGTTCTTCAGAGAAAGGGATGCTTCATACAGCTCTGTAGGAATTAAACAATTTTGCGTGTTCTTGTGCCCACTTTTATTTACTGCTTTCTTCCTTACTGCATTTTGTTTTACTGAAATATAAACCTAGATATTTTTATCTTTTTATTTTCTATAAGTTTATGTTGTCATTTTTACTTTTCATGACTATTTCTTTAATTTTAATGACTGGAGAGTCCCTTTTCCTACTGGCCAAGTGAGTGAGTGATTTCTATAGTTTAAATTAAGCAGTGTGGGTTTAGGACATTTTTTCCTGACAAGAAGGTGGTAATCTGATATTAGAAATGTTCTTTCTGTTTTATATTAATCCAGATATCTTTTCTTGGCTAATTTGTAGTGCAGTCATGTTACAATTATTGTGATTTCAGAGGACTGTTTATTCTGTCTAAAAAATAGGGTAAAGTGCTTGAGATAACTGAAGTGGTTCTCTTCAGAGCTAGAAAGTATGACAGATGCAGTCTTCTTGCAGTGTAACTGAGTGTGTGAGTACAGAAATCATGCAGAATAGATTAATAGAAATACTCAAAATATATTACTGAGTCTGAACGGTGTATTCTTGTAGTTAAGCGATTTATGTACAATATTCCAAATATACCCAGGTGTACAAAAGTGTGAGCCTGTGAG